ATGTAACTGTAATTCCTTTGTATATCACCTTTACAATAAAAATTAAAAACAGAAATAAAAACAAAAAACACTAAGGCTATGAATCTCATATGATTGTCCTGGGCCTCAGCTGCTGATATACTCTACTATACAGTCTGCTTATATACTTTGTGAGGGTAAATTACAGAGAGATACCAGAATCCCTTAAACATAAATGGTCATGGAATTCAGTCATAGGTTGTTAGGCTTTCAAAATCTATAGTGTGACTTCTAAGAGGGTAGTTGCACATCTATTTCCTCTTGCCCAAAAATGTAAATTATTTCACTCCAAATTGGAAACACCCAATGGCTCTCCATAGCTCAAGCAATAGCACCAGACTCACTCACACAAAAAAAGCTTCACAACAGAACTAATATTACCTTATTCTCACTGTATATACCCTGCATATACCCAGCCACACTGACCCCTATGTTTTGACTAAATTCACATTATCCTTCACTCCTCCATATTTGTACACATTCTTTTTGTCTTTAAGTCCTTTTCCTATCTCCTATCTCTTCCAGCAAGTCCTAATGCATTTTTAGTATTCACTTCAAATATAAGAATCTCCCGTGAAAATTTTCTAGAAGTCTTCATCACTCTTGATTCTGAGTCTCCACAGTAATTTATTTATAAACATCTCATGTTATGCCTTGCTATTTTCTTTCTACTTTCCTCTTTCATCTTGGTCTCTCAAGTGTCTATCAGTGGCTGGTTACTTAATAAATGTACAAGGAAGGAAAAGAAAAGGAGAGTGGGAAGGAAGAAGGGAGGAAGGGAAAGAGAGCTGCTTGATTCTTTCACAACATTAGATAGAATGATAACCATAATCGATGTTTTAGAGTTCTTTATACAATAAAGACACTGAAAGATCATACTTTAAAATTTAAATATCTACTGAATGCTTGAGAATGACAAATGAAATACAGTTAAGTCTTGCAGAAACAATGCCAGTAGCTAATTAAATGTATTATAACAGTGGTATGCAGTGAAATATGCAAGGCTTTGAACACAGACTACATTTGAATACTAATGTTACCAGCAGTGTGCCCTTACGCATGCTCCCTTTCTTCCTTTAAAAATGAGTCTAATGACATCTATTTGCCATGAATATTTTCTGAGGAAACAAAGGTTAAAAACCTGGCTAGATGCTGAGTTTGATTCAGAAGTAAATTTATGAGGCTCTCAACCAAAACTATGAACAAAATAAGAACGACATTTAACTTAAGAGTTTAATTCCAACTTAATCACTTGTGACTTGCTGTGTAATTATAAAATTTGTAACTACATGACAGATATCCTTAAATAGAGAATCTGTAGAAAAATTAATTACTATTTAAAAATATCCTGGATTCACATTATGATTTAAAGCAACAATACTACAGAGGAAATTTCTTCAAGGCAGTTGAGATATTTACTTCATTTCCATAAAGGAAATTATCCAGATCTGCTCCAATCATTCTATAGGTTAAGAAAGCTTTAAAAATCCTGTCACAGGGGGGTTGGGCAGGGAGGGAAAGAGGGAGAAAAATGAGGGAGGGGGTAATAAATTCAACAAGAAATGTACTCACTACCTTATGTAACTGTAACCATACATTACCTTGACAATAAAATTAAAATTTTTAAAAGAGGACCAAATAAGGAAAAAATCCTGCCACAAAATCAGTCATTATATGCAAATTACTTGCTAGTTACTTACGTTGAAAGAAATAATCTTCCCTTTCAAACCAATCTTCTGGTATTAAGCATGTAAGGTACGTCTAATTTTTGTGGTTTGCTGCAGGTGAGGGTATTTTAGCATCACATTCTGATAAATTACAATCTCCTGATGGTGACATTCAGCTGATGTGAACACTGTAAGCTTGTCTGCTCAATCTGTTTACATTCTTCCTGAGCAGGCACCTCTTCCTAATGTCTGCCTTAATAGCAAGGCAGAACTGCAATAACAGACGAGCTTCATTTAGTCTACTGCTAAAGCCTGGGAAAGTACCCATCAAAACCTTAAAACCAATTTCCATTTAGCTTCAATTTCTCTTTTAAAGAGAGAAGGAATTTCTGCTACTGAAATCACTTTGAAAATCATTGCCTATTTGAGTTCCTTTGCCCACTCATGTCTGGTCTATGTTCCATTATAACAAAAATTGTTAGAGGGTAACAATGTTCAACACGAATACAGGATGTACACTTAACACTGAATTGCAGGTAAACAACAAATAAATATTTCTGTACATGTGAATCCTACACACCAGCACAGGATATACTCATACGAAGACATGTATTGTTTATCTGAAGTTAAATACAGTGGGATATTCCATATTCTGTTGGGGAATCTTCAGGGAAGAGTGTTTTAACCATTTGCATCTATAAAACTATAATTCAATGGAAGCATCAAATCCATATACACCAAAAATGTTTTCCAAAATGTAGCCTCTTAATTTTCAGAGGGATTTTATTACTACTATTTTTTTTCCAGTGGGAAGAGGGGGTTGAGGTAGGTAAGGACAGAATGGCGACCAAGACTTGAGGGTTTTTCTTTGTTTTGTTTTTCTGTTTCTTGTTTATTTGGCAATACTAGGGTTTGACTGTAGAGCTTTACACTTTCACTTGTGCCACACACACACACACATATGGGATATACATACAGACAGACAGACAGACAGATATGGATTCTTCAGGACTTTCTGGCCTGGCCAGTCTTAAAGCATGATCCTCCAGACATCAGCCTCCTGGGTAGGTAGGATTTCTGACTTGAGCCACCAATAGCTGCTTAAAGATTTATTTTGGGGGGAAATTTCTCATTTTTTAAAAACCTAGATAGCTTCAGCAGCACCATAGCCCAGCTCAGGATCTTTTCTCATGGTCATTTAGGAGATAATATATTTCTCATAGACACCAATTTACTTTAAAAAAAAAAACAACTTTCTCATATTAGCCTTGCATACAAATCTTACAACTGAAAAAAAATAAAAAAATAAATAAAAAAAAAAAAAAGAAGAAACCATCTAGTGGCAAGACCTGTGCACCCATACAATGGTCTACAATGCAAAAGACTTTCAAACTGAATTTTCTTTTAGGATGACTAAAACTAATTTTTTTAAATAAATTTTATGAGGAGGAAAAAAAAAACAAATCTTACAACTGAAAGACTGAATATAGGGACATGGACACGGTAGATGAATACATTCTGCATGCTTAAATATTTACATATGAAATAAAAGTATAGAACTGCTTTTTTAATTTAGCTAAAAGACTAATAAAAAAATTACAGTTGCCTTGCAAATATTTGCTAAACACCTAATGTCATGTCATATTTCTCATTAATTTATCCCCTATTAAATCATTCTTGAAAGGCTTTCTAACAGCCAAGCTCCTTCCTTATACCCTCACCAGATGTACTGGTCTCCTTACTCCTTAGTCTCCCTGCCCTGATTTCCTATCTATTACTGAACTTATTAAAGCAATGAGCAAGGTAGATGGCTTCTATTACCAGGCTGTTCGTTGTATGGAAGTTTGCACCAGTCATTTTAAAAAAGGATATCTGTAATGAAGGCCTGTAGACTGGATTTCAAAGATGGAGACGAATCCACTAGAGACATCAGTAAAGTCCCATTAACCTTGGCAGCTGTGGTCTGAGATCTGAATTCCAGTTCCACTGTTTATTTCCAGTGTCCAAAGTCACTGGGAAAGGTACATATTAAATTAGGGCTTAAAGAGCTGGGATCTGTCACCGAAGATTGTGTCAGCTTGAAAATAATCAAATCTAAAATGCTTTATAGGCTACAAGATTTGCAAGAATTTGAAGTCAGCAATAAAGGAGTATAATAGCAAAAACTTTGCTCATATGCTGTTGAAACTATACTACTGCAGCATGAATAGCAAAGCCTCTACTTTGCAAATTCAAACAAGTCACTATTCTCTAGGTGCCTCATTTCCTCATTTATATTATCTGGCGGTAAAACTATCTCATTGGAATTGTAAAAACAAAGCTTCCCCAACTCTAGCTCGGCTTTTCTTGAACATGGTTAGCATTCTACTTCTTGAGCTATGCGTCTAGTCCAGAATTTTTCTAGTTAATTGCAGATGGAGTCTCTGATTTTTCTGCCTGAGCTGACTTCAAACCATGATCCTCTAGGCCTCAGCCTCCTGAGCGGCTAGATTATAGGCATGAAACATAGACTGATTACAACGGGTAGATAACTGGGAGTTGAGACTATATTTTTCAGCAAGGGAATATCTGTACTGCATTTAGATAGGGCCATGTCTAACATTCTTGTCATGCATAGAGAAGCGATGCAATGAGAATAGAGAATGAATTGCCAAAGACAGTCAAAGGAAATGGAAACAAAGCTGTGGATGACAGCTACGGACATAGGGAATAGCAATGAACAAAAGGCTGTTTCATAACAAGAAAGCATCCAACAAGCAAAGTGTGTGTGTTGGGGGGCGGGGGGGGCAATGACAATAACAGGGTATGGCTCATCATTCCCTATGTGACTCCTATCCACAAAACTACGTAAAGGCAGTGTCAGGATCACAATCTGTATCTGTTACCTTACCACCTGAATCTCCACATGAGATAAAACAGGATGGGTTGTTTTAAAAAGAAGAGAAAGAAAAACAGCTCCATTATGCTATCTCAGTGCTAGTCCAGAGGGGCCTTTCTGCGTAGTAATGAGATCTGACACTAAAAAGAACGTATGCTTTCAAATGAAAATGTCAACACGTAGCTGGAGTGAAATAATTAAACAGCATCCAGATTCCCCTACCTCATCATTTCAGTACAGCAAATAGTTGCACTGAAATTATCTGTCACAGAAAGAAAGGCTCCTTTCTCAGAAAATGCTAAACAATTACCACAGATAAGAGTTACTGCTATCACAGTTCCCTAGCAAACCCTACAGGATGTTGTGGACTGATAGGAAAAAATACATTATCATACCATCTTTTTAACTATAATAAAGAGAAGATATAAACACCATACCCATGCAAGAAGCAATAGATTTCTTTTCACTGTTCCACAGTATCCCAACATCCCCACAATGATAAGGAAACAGCAAACAGCAATCATGACGGGGTGAACCACGGGGAAGTAAGTCAGGATGACCGCCTCCTCCACCCTGAGAGAAGAAAAATAATGTTATATTATAAATAAAATACAACTGAAATACAAAGATGCAATTGTGTGTTGTGATTCTTCCTATGATTGTCCCCCAAAGCTGGTAATCCTACTGCTATTTTTAATCACTATACTGTGATTTGTGTTTGTTTGCTTGTTTTCTTTAATCTTTGTTTTCACTTTGTTTTGACTTTAAGTGATAGTACTCTTACTCCAACTTATTTAAAACACAAACTCTGAAGTCATTGTCTAGTAATTCACACAGGAGTCTTGACTATTTCTCACCTCTAAAGAATCATCTGTATTACCTAAATCTTGGACTCACTTTCCTTCTTCCTGACAACTAATTCTCTCCCAAAGGAAACTGATCTACATTGACAGAAAGAAGGAAGTAAAGACATGACTTTTGCTAGAACCCTATGAAAAACACATTAACCAGAGCCAGCAATAACAATGATAACAGTGCTTAACCATTATTAAGTGATTTCCAGCTCTACTATGTTAAGGACTTTACAGAAAGATATCTTTCTTAATCTTTACTACAATTCTGAGCAGTATATATAACCATCTGCATTCAGGGAGAAGGACAAATCATTTGTCTCTACTGACCTGAGAGGATCAACCCTTGACATTTGAGAAGAAAATGGCATTATGAGGTTTAATTTTCATTAGCTGAGGAATATGAAGTGAGAATTTTTTAAGGGAAAGTAGCTAAGCTGTTATTCACACATAAATACATTATGACTGACACACAGTTGGCAGGACAGGCAACTGGTGTAACCATACCCAGAAATGTCCATTTAAACATTCCACCACCAGATGTACTCAAGACTCCATGAGCATGCTAGAAATGCTAGTATCTGCAGTGATACTGCAGAAAACAAACCTTCTACAGGATCTATAGGAGCATTACCCTATAAACAGCTGAGAACACAAATAATTTGAAACCAGTATCAGAGGAAACTGTAGAAGAATTGAATCAATAACTCTGAAGCCTACCTGGTTTCTGCGGTTAAAGTCAGAACATTATTCAGGTAGTCCCTCATCCAAGCTGAAACTGCCAGCACACTGATGGACATTAACTGTGGGGAGAAAAAAAAAAGCCAACCACTTAGTAAGAATTTACTCATCACTATAGGACTAATGACTTAAAATTTAAGATTTTTGTGAGATAGTCTTTGTATGTTTTCCTAATTACTGCTTGCTAAATACTGAAATCTATTACTTTTATGGATATCTGCCATTCCCTTTAGTAGTAGCCAATAAAATAGATTGCCACAAAATCATTTATAGAAAATAAACTATTCAAGAGCTGATTTTAGGTTTTGGATGGAAATCACCTCAGAAAAGACTACAAAAAAACTAGTTTATCAAACTTGTAAAAGGATCTTAAAACACGTTGCTATAGTTATCAATAAAATATAACTACTAAGCAATTAAAAACTGTCAAAAATCACAAAGGTTAACTTAAAATTGTTTTTCTTGGCTAAAATTCAAACAATGTGAACATTAAAATGCTGGCAATAATAAAAATAAATACAATTCTTTGAATAATAGGAAATGTTCTAAAATCCAAGGGGGAGAAGATAGTTAAGAATTCACGGTATACACCACAAAATGAAGAAAAGTAGAGAAGGGGTGGGTTGAATGGAGATCAGAATTGTGAGAGGATGACACTGATCAAGATGAATTGTATTCATAAACTATGTTGTTAAATGGCACTTCCTTTGTACAGCTACTTAAAATAATAAAATATTTTAAAAGAAAAAACCTTAAGCAAAACTCAATTTTGGTAACATTTATAGAACGTTGGACTCTGATTACTCAGAAACTGGGTAAGAATCCCCCATTTATACTTAGTTTTCCTATATAAACTAAAGGGAGAAACAAAGAGTAAGCAAATGATTTTAGAGAAGGATTGGGTAAAAAGTTACACTATAGTACTACAGTTTAACAAAGCTCCTCTAAAATGATGGGATGTTAAACGAAGTTCTTCCATGCCTACCAAAGTTATCAAGTCGTTAATCTTACAACTCTGTCTGTAAACAAGAATCATCTAAGTTAAGCAGGCCCATACTGGGTCCACCCATTTTGGAATGGGTTTGGGCATCACAAACCTCTAAAGGTGCCACAGATATTTCATAAGCCCACAGTTCAGAGGAAAATTAGGCCAGCTCTTGTTCTCATTTCTATTGAGAACAAAGAAAAGAAAGCAACCCTATTTAAAAGTTGCCAAGTGGCCTTACCACAGTGCATTAGCCATGTTTCTAGCTTATGTAAATGATGCTTTAAAATCGGTTTAGCATGTAGATGCTAAATAACACCTGATTTTAGAGAACATGCCTGAATCACCTTGCCTAGACCTTCTTACTCCCTCATCATCCACCCTCTCACTGGGAGAAGTCTTCCTCCTTAAGATGTACTTTTTGATTACAATCATCCCATCCAAGGGATGGACCTACCTTACCCAGCCCTTACCTAATCACTCTAGGGCAAATTAATCGAACTAGACACTCCTAAAATGGCCTACCCTGTCTCCCCATCCCTTCTAACAAAAACCTAGCTCCTGACTCTCTTACCATCCCATTTCTCCATCAGTTGCCTGTGGTCAATATAGTGCTTTTGGTTTTCTTCTATGTGGCTATGGATGGATCTTTACTACTTTTTACATGTTTCAGAAATATGATAGTCTACAGACATGCTATTTTATTTCACTATGTTAAATTATTTTTCAGCCATAAATAGCTCTCACTTTTCTGTTTTTTCTCTATTACTCTTCAAAGCCATTCTTTTCTCCATCCTGCAATTTCTCAGTCAATATTCAACATTATAGAGCTGAGTCAAGTATCAATTAGTTATCATAGTCATCATCAGTATACAATCTATTAGCATTGATTAACACACTTATCTACTTACAAAAAAAGTTCATTTATTTTGAATCATACAATCTAAGTCATTTCTTGTTTGGTAGATTATTAAAGCCTTTAGTTTGAAGTTATTCTTTCATTCAAAAACTCTCTTTATCACTTGTTCTTTTTCCAGTACTGTGTTAGATGCTTGAGATACACTGATGATAAGAAACAAAGACAATTTCTACCCTGTAATTAACTGAGGATAAAAATTAATCAGTTCATCAAAGATACAAATATAATACTCCACACTGTATACAAGTTGCTTTTTAACAACCTCTTTTGGAGTGTCTGGCCTACTTTACAGGGCCACAGGATTTAAGAGGCCTAGGATCTCTTCAGATCCTATCAAGTTAATTAAGAAGGGAGGGGATGAAAAGAAGATTACAATCAGAAAGAAGACCAAAAATCCCAGGGAATTAATATGTTGAAGGAAGATAAACTGACATATGATGATAACACAACAAGCAGGCAGAGTCAAATCTCAACCTTAGAAGCTTCCTAGAAGGGTTATGGTCTTGACCACAATGGCAACAACAAAGGGAACTAATAAATTTGGAATTCTAACACTATCCCTTTTTAGGTATATTACATTGTATGTCATTTAATCTTATTTTAGCCTGATTTTTTTCACCAATAAAGTGCTATAAAAAAACTGTAATTTTGGAAGGTTCATGTAATGAAAAAAGCCCCCTTAACTATCATCAGTTATTATCACAAGTTAACTTTGACCTAAGAGCTTTCTTCTAATCTTTCTCGATCAGTTTAAGAAACCAGACAACTCCTCCATCAGTTACAAAGTGGAATCTTCAGATATTTGAAGGTCGATAGCACGTCAAAACCGTACTTAGCTCCAATCAACTCAAAACTTGAGCACCCCTCTCCCTGCATTTCCTAGGTCAGTAAATGGTACAATCAACCCTCAATCACAGCATTGGCAACTTGGCAGACAGCCTGAACTCTCCCTCTTCCGCAGCCCGATGTCTAATTAGTTCACAGTCCTTTGGATGGTTCCTGAAAGGCATCTGGAAAATTCCTCCCCCTTTCCTACTGCTCCATACTAAATCAGGCCCCTGTCCTCTTTTGCCAGGACATTACAATCACCTTAACAATAAATCTCTCCAGATCACAGATTCCACAGCAAATTCCCCCCTTCAGTTACCTTGACAGCACAAAGATCAAGCAGTTCAACTCATAGCTGTCCTATATGACTGCCTCCTCTTATTTCCTCTTCCCCCCACTCCTTCATGGAGCAGAGTTGAAACGCTTCAACAGGTTACATAAGAAGGCCCGCTGTCACCCTTTCCCCTATAACTTTAAAGCTGTTTCCTGCCAACTCCTTCCCACAGTTGGACAATGGCAAAACTGCTTGCAAAAGGCAACATACACATCTCCCAATGCTTGTGTCTTCATTCACATATCCCTTCTGTCTGGAAAGCCACTCTGGCCAGCCTCCCTATCACCTTGAGCCGAACAGCTTCCACTTCTCTCAAGGACAGCCAAACACCAGTCGGAGAGGAAAGATGGTCTCCCAGATCTCTCCTTCCCCTCAACACTCTCTCTACAATCCTAGTAGAGTAGTCTTGCTGGTCTTTCCTATTTTTACCCATCCGTCACACCCAGTCAAAGGCACAGGGGCCATTGCTCATCACACAAAAGAGCACTAGGTTATAGAGCATAACACAGATTAAATGAAAGAATGATAAAATAATTAAATAAAGGGGAGATTGTTTCTAGTTGCTAGCCAGAGGAACAGAGATCATTAACAAAACCAGGAGATGCTTTACGAAGAACTAAGCTTTCTATCTATCACTGCAAGTTTTCCAGTAGAGAGATGCTGGCAAAAGACAAAAGATTTACTGCTCAGGTTAGACGCTGGCTTAGGTCTTCTCAGAAGTTCTTTAAACTACAGACTTTGCATTTTATTCTCACTTCCTCTCTTCCACAAAAGCAGCCACAAACACTGCAGCTGTGTAAGTAAAACATTAGTTAAAGTAAATAATATCAACACATAGGCTTATCCTAAGGTAAACAGGCAACCCTGAGAATAAACAACTCTTTCTTTAGACATTAATCCCAGTCACTTCTAATGTCTAAAAACAGCTTCATCCTCAAACTGTGATTTTATTCACTGAGGTTGACAAAATGGTAGGGCTACTACTGCCTGTTGCAAGAAACCAATGTAAAATGAAATTGAGGAGCCTCAATAATCCTGATCTCATTAAAACAAACTTCTACAATGCAGGCTCCTAAGTAGTAATGATCATTTTCCAGATTAACTGCTTGCCATTATGAGTGTGATTATTATTTGTATTTAGTCTTTTTAATCACTGCAATACTGGTACACATTCCTGGAGTAAGTTCTAGTATTTCAAATGTGTATGTGATGTGTACTGATCAAGTCAAGGAAATCATTTTCCAGCTGGTAGGCACAATGTAGTTATTGTAAGTAACTAGGCTTATAGCCCCCACAGCATTCAAATCTCAATGAAGTATTTAGAAAACAATACAAATATTACTTTATAAAGAAATTCATAATATTTTTCTAAAAAGTATATTTGCCACATTCAGACTAACAAAATGTATAGGAAACTCCAGCTCTCAATAAACACATAAAATGTGCTGCATTAGGGATATGGTCTGGTTTTGTTTGAATATAATTATGTAAAAGCAAGCTGTGAGGCAAGTTGTTTTCTAAATAAGAAATATATACATGTCTACATTGGCTAAATCTTCTTATAAAGTATAACCTTATAATTTCCACAAAATATTCAATAAACAATAAACAATATTTTGACCTGGTGATCACAACAACAAAAAAAGCTTTCAAAGTTTTCAACTGTCTATATATACTGTCTATACATATCACATAGCCACACAAAGTGAACATAACACATTTCTTTTTAAGTATGTCTAAAACCTCCAGCATAAGCTTTTCTTTTATGTCAAATCTGTTAGCAAGACACAGAATGCCAGTGATATGAATCGACTTACACTCTGTTGCTAAAAAAAAAAGCACTTAGAGAATTCAAAATTGTAGAACCTTTGTTTGCTCATCCTGAGAATGTACAAACTGGAGTTGCAGCTTGCTTTCTTTAAAACTTATTTGTTATGTATGGAGACATAAGTGTAAAATAGATGCTTAATGACTAGAAGCTGACACACAATGTGAGTCCGGCTTCGTAACAACTATTCTTTCCCTTCCATCTGCTTCCTTCTGTTTGTTGTTGTTGTTGTTGTTGTTGTTTTTATGATCTGCTCTCACCCTCTGGGCTTTTCTTCTGCCAAAGGATGGCAAAAGCAAAGAGAGCATGCAAGGTAACTGTTACCAATGCTGATAAAGAATAGGCTATGTTAATGATAGCTGAAATGGGTACCATTTAAGCATGACCATGTATCAATTAAGCTGATTTAATCAGTAGCCACCCAGAGCCATTCTAATGGTAGTTTTTATAAATCACCCCCCCCTACATAAAACAACTATTCTTCCTACTCTCTTCAGAAGAGGCTTACTTTAAGTCTCTGATGTTCTGGCATAATTAGTAGAGAAAAGCAGTCTCCTTCATGACAGATGTGGTGGTATATGTCTGTTATACCAGTAACTCAAAAAGCTGAGGCATGAGGCTTTTAAGTTTGAGGCAAGCCTGAGCTACATGGAGAGGCCTTCTCTCAAAAATCCAAAGGAAAGGGCTAACGGCATGATTCAAAAACATACAGTATCTGCCAAACCAGTCAAATCCAGTAGCACAAGAGGGGGGACCTCTTCCTTTCACTCTCAAAATGGTCCTAGTTTTAATGATAATATGTACCAGCCTACTGGACTAAGGTAAAAGAAGGACAAGATGTCTCCTTCTAGACCGGAGTTTCTTTGCTCTCAGCTCCATTCCCCAGTGTCTGAGCTAGGAATCCCATCATGAACAGAGATGAGTAAGGAATCTATTGCTCCAAGCCTCAGCAGAAACAGGATGGGCTCTAGAGAACTTTCCATATTCTTCTCTTCAAATCCATTCCTATCAGCACGCAGTGGCTCATGTCTTTTCCAGTGGTAAAATGCTTGACAAAGTCAGCTTTGCCCTATAATCTGCTTAACACTGCTGCAAGTATTGGCCAGCCACAGTGGCTTGCAGCTATAATCCTAGCTACTCAAGAAGCAAGGTTCATGAGGACAGCGGTAGTAGGTCAGCCTAAGTAAAATGTTAGTAAGACCTTATCTCAACAAAACAAGCCAGGCATAGCGGCATAGGTCTGTCAACCCAGCTAAGCAGGAGCCATACCTAGGAGGATCAAATTAAGGCTGGCCAGGAATAAACAGAACACCTTATTCTAAACATATCTAAAGCCTAAAAGGCTAGAGAAGTGGCTCAAGTGGTAAAGCTCCTGTTTTGTAAAGGTAAGGCACTAAGTTTAATGCCTAATATCACCCAAAACAGATGGGGTGCATATGCTACATTGGTTTGTTCTGTTTATAATCCTGAGAGGTCTTAGAGCTCATACCAAAGCTTTGCTCTTGAAAGATAAATAGAGGCACAATGAAGCTTGGTTAGAGATGCTGAAAACTAATAATGTTCACTGGTACAGCATTTGTCTAGCATGCACTGGACCTGGTATTTGATCACCAACACCAAACCAATGAATAAGAACTAACTCTAGGGGCTGGGTGTTTAGCTCAGCGGAAGACTGCCTGCCTGGCAAACACAAGGCCCTGAGTTCGGTCCTCAGCTCTGGAAAAAACAAAACAAAACAAAACTAACTCTAGAATTGGACTTCGACACACTGAATCTGAGTCTGCACTTTAAAGGGCTGCTCAGGTATTTCCATGCTCACTGTGGACTGAGAAGCCCAGTTCTGGAGAACTTGGAATGAGCAGGTGGACAGCTAATCCCTTCCTACTGAGAATGTTTACTTGGATTCTCCACTGCAAATAAATCCATCACTGTTTCCAATAGTACAACTTTGATGGGAAATACAACTGGACTTTGAATCCTTCTACTGTTGCTTGCTTACTAGCAAGGTATTGAACTTCTGTAAGTACCAGTTTCTTTAGCTAAGAAAGAAAGAATAAGAATTATACAGGACTATTAGGGAGCTCAGAGGTTAGAGTATGATAAGGAGGCCTGAGAATAGGACAGCACAAGTCTGCAAACATTTTATTTGGAAATAAAATGAGATCTGCAAACACAACTTTAATAATATATTACCAGTTTTCCCAAAATTACCATAAAAATTTCACAGAATTTTAACAAAATCTCAGTATACACTTTAGTTGGATTAGAAAAAAATCTTAATGTCTATATGAAGAAATTTTAACTGCGACAAGAAATGTAGGTGCTATAAAAAGATCATACAAGAATGTATACAATCCTACAGAAAACATATTAAAAAGAATAGATAAAAATTTTCTTTAATATTACAGAGAAGCAACTAGAATAAATAAAAATAAGAAAATGTAAGTGATAAGTATGAAGCGCTTAATGAAAATGAAGTATAAAATGACATATAAAGTATATATCTATATATATACTTTATATATAAATAAAAACATCAGTATATACATAAAATGCAATATACTGATGTTTTAGTTATATATTGATATTTTCATTTTATTATATATATATATACATATTGGGATACACTGATGTTTTTATTTCCTAGTATATATTTATATATTCCCTGGATGAGATTATTGGATCAAAGGGATAATAGTGCTGATAGCAGTCACAGAAGAACTAACCATAACAGTGATCACTATTATCCTTACCCAGAACACAGTAGCAGTTTACTTTCTGAGGATCAACTTGAGTACAATCAAACTGAGGTAATCACGACTCCCATACTCCTATGACATCCACAGTACCTGCATGTCAGTGTTCTAAATCCTTTACATAAATGAATGCTAATTTTCACAACAGATCTTTAAAGACTAGGAAATTGAGATATTAAATATGCCTGGTAAATATAGCTATAACTACATCTTAGCTATTTCATATGCTAGTTATGTATGCTGGCTACTTTTGCTTTATTTTTGTTACCATTACATATCTTTAACAGCAATCTCACTCCTATGACTAGCCTAAAAGAAAAAAAGCAGCCAACAAAATGAAAAAATATGAATATGTATGCATGTGGGTGAGTATATTTGGACAGCTCTAACTCGGTATCTGCATAAAACAAGTTAGAACACAGAGGAAGCATGCTAAGAAAGTAACCTGAACTGCTTCTTGGAGAGGATATAAAAACTGAAGAACACACATCCTCAGAAAGGTAGAACTAAGAAAATTCAAGTGTAGGATAACCACAAAGAAATGACATTATATGTTTTCTGGCCAGACAAAGAACCCTGTAAGAATTTAAGAGGTGTTTTTAGGAAAATTTCATTTCTCAGAGCAACATTACTTTTGTTAAATAGTTAAGTGTTTTTTCCTCTCACATATTACAGACTATTAAGAAAATTTCCAAATCTTTAGTTTTTATTGAACAACAACAAAAATATCTCAGTAATGGCAAGTTTCAAAAACAAGTAAGGCTACAGGCTAAAGCCCCCGCCTAGGAGAAGGAAAGCTATAGTCTGTTCCTGGCACCAACACCAACACCACCACAATATTTGACCTTTGACATATCATTTAACTTGCTCTTAATTTCCTTGCTCACAAAGAAAGGAAGTTCAGCCAGGCCATCTTTAGAGCTCTTTTTTGAGACAGAATGTGCTGATTCTATAATTAAAAAACACAGTGTAAAAAAGTAAAAGCTAGTAGTACGTAAGAGTACTAATTATATATTTTAGGAGAGAATTTGGAATCTGAGTTCCTTATTGCAAGTATTCAAGTGAAGAAACCACTTTATAGTGTACATTATTTAAAAAAACAAACAGCAATATCAATTAGTGATTCTACACATCCAAATTGTAATTCTAACTACTTAATGGTTTCATTTTCATGCCGAGAATTCAAGTTGCTATTTTTGATATTGTTCTGATCACTGATTTATCACCATTTCAGGGCCATTACATAGAGTCCTAGAGTCACAGTCACTGGAAAAGGCAACTCAGTATGAGACAACTGGCCAAATAAATAATCTGCACATTAAAATTTGCTGGCAGGAAAATCTGAATAGAAATTATTGATAGAGGGGCTGGGAAGGTGGCTCAGTGGTAGAGCACTTGCCTTGCATGCTCGAGGCCCTGAGTTCAATTCCTCAGCACCACATAAGAAAAAAGCCGGAAGTGGCACTGTGGCTCAAGTGGTAGAGTGCTAGCCTTGAGCTGAAGAGCTGAGGAACAGTGCCGAGGCCCAGAGTTCAGGCCCCACGACCAGACCCAAAAAAAAAAAAAAAAAAGAAATTATTGATAGAACACACACACACCGAAATGGTAATAAAAAAAAACTGCTTAAGCATGACAGCTTCCTGAAGTAACAAAGTTTCCATTTTATATTTCCATAATCTTTATAAATAATAACACAATCGTTATCAACACTTTATGAAAATTCACGCAAGGATATAAAAGTCACTAACTCATGGGGCATAAAGATTTCCAAGAACTTGTTAAATTTTATGTATTTTATTTCCTTAAATGGTTATGGGGTATTTCCAAAAGCATACAGAAAATTCCTTAAACTTTGCCAACATGTTAATAGTTACATGAAAACCACCTTTCAGACTGTATGGAATCCTCTAGAAAAATTTATCCAGTCTTTTGATAGGATATCTAGGTATGAATTCCTGTAGAAGCACATTCAGAATGCTCCAACCAAGTTTTTATAGGCTAGAGTGACGTAAAGAAAAAATGCATGGCTTGCACAGTTATCTAAAATCCCTGCAAACAAGAGCAGGTCAACATTTTCTTATCTACCAGTAGAAGCACGTGCACCTATTTATATCCCTGGATTAACTTCATGTCTAATTTTGCTGCCTAGCTAGTTAGCATCCAGAAGAAGATTTTTTTTTTCTAATTGCAAACGGAACCTGAGCTAGATCAAAGACATTTTAAGAAGGTCAGACTTTACTCCTGGCATAGGGTGGATAGAGGGTGTGATCCCGTGTAAATTCATTAATGCTGAGCCATTCACTTTGGAACATTATCTAAGTGGCTACAAGATAACCCCCGGGCCCAGCTGTACCCACCTGTTGGGGCGGCGGAACTGTTCGACTTACCCAAAAGAGCAGATTGAGGGCGTAAAGCAAGCAGCGCAGGCACTTCACAGAATCTTCTCTGGCCATGGTGACCCTCGGAAGGGTGAAGCCCCATCCTTTCAGCACATCCTAACCCCAGGGACGAAGCAGCCAGGGTCTGCCGGAGGGAGGAGTGCAGGAAGAACCCGAATTAGCGCCGCGCGCGCCACGGACACCCCTTCCCCCCCTCCTCCAGCCCTCACCTGGGGGGGGGGCGGAGACAGCGAGTCCCCAAACTTAGTTCACTGCAGCCGGCGCTTGATCAAAAGTCATGTTGTTAAAAGTCCCAATAGACACTGAGCCTCCCCCAAGGACCTACCTGGCTTCGGATAACACCTGCTGGGAAGAGAAAGGACTGGCCCTCGGGATGGGCAAAGGCGCACAGCGAAGTGCTTCCCTGGGGACCCTCTGCGCGTGGAGCAGCACTTTACAGCCTTCCCTAACCCACGCCCCCCCTCGGGGGTAGCTCTGCCCGCAACTATCCTAAAGGACAGACACCCACTCTGCGCACCCCCCCCACCCGAGACCTCACCCGTGCCGCCCGCGTCCCTTCTCCACGGCACAGTCCAGACGCCACCACTGCCACCACCCTGCCCAAGTCGGCCGTCCTGTCCCCCCACCTCCTCCGCCCGGTCCCGCAGCTTCGGGAGTCGAACGCGCGCGACCCGAGGAGGCGCAGCTGGGAGCTGGATTCTACCCCGCGGCGGCGACTAGAGTTTCTGGGCCAGAACATGAGAAACGCCGTTTTTCGTCCCCAGAATAATGGATTTAGCCTGGGGCGGGGAGGGGACGTCGGAGGGGTGAGGCGGGGCGGGGGGGAGAGGAGGACCCGCGCAGCTGTGCGCACGCCGGGCTAGCCCCTCATCCCTCCCCCCCTCCCCCGGCGCCCCGGCCGCCCGCGGAGCACAAAGCCCGGGCGGTCACCCGCCCCGCCACCGTCCGGGGCCAGGTCTGCGCTCCCCCGCCCCGTCCCCGCCGCCCAACCACCCCCGGCATGGCGCGGGCGACGGCGGACTCCTAGACCCGCCGGCAAAGTGGCTGAGGCGAGCGCCCAGGGCAGCCGCCCGCAGACGGGACGGGTCGGGGACTAGGGAAAGCCCGGAGACGCGCGGCCACTCACCGTCCGCGCCGGGCTCCGTGCGCCACCCTCGCCGGGCGACACTTGGGGACGCGCGGCGGAGACTCATCCGGGCAGGGACCTTCCTCCCCTCCGAGAGACCAAACGCTGCCTGGGCTCCGGCCAGCAGACGCTTCCTTCTCTTCCTCTCCCCACGCCGCCGCCGTCGCTGCCTCCTGGGAAAAAAGAAGAAGGAGGAGAAGGGGAAAAAAAAAAAAAAAAGTCCTGGGCAGCAGTTGCTGGAAAGTCTCGGCTCAGCCACCTCCCAGCGCCGCTGTCCCTCCCCAGTCCTGGCCAAGTCCGGACGGAGGCAAGCCGCGGGCGGCAGCCAGAGCCAGCTGCACGCGCTCTCAGCGCATGCTCAGCCGCTGGCCGCCCGGGTTGGGTCCTAGTGGGTGTTTCTTGGCCCCCCCCTCCACCCTCCCCGCTCACCCGCAGGGAACCCCCCCAGAGGGACCTTCCCCGCCCTCACCTCTCCAAACTACCATCCAAAGGAGAAAAGACTCCTGAGATTCCCCCCGACCCCCCCCCGCTCCGCCCCCGCGCAGCCAGCCCCTTGAAAATGGTGGTGTCCCAGAGAATGGAGGCTGGGTTATAAGCATGGGGAAGCAGGTTTTTATGATATGAAAATATTTGCGTTTGAGAAGGGGGGGCATGAAGGGGAGGCCCAACCCAATTCCTGCAGTGAGAAACTGGTTTTCACAACCTTTACAGAGCCACCTCCTGTGATATGTCATTAACAGGGTGGCCTATGATCCCTCTTGCTGATTTGTTTCCTTTCTAAAGGGGGGGAAAAATCTGTTCCTGTTCCTTGCCCCCCCGCATTGTCCACCAATGTCATCTGTGTGAAGTGTAATGCTGTCCCGTCTAGCTAGCACGCGGAATGAGAAGAAAAGTATATCTTTAACTCTCTCACAAGTCATCCCAAGTTTCCAGAATTTCCCAAATGGGATTACTTTTTCAGCTTTAACTGGTGATCTATCTTGACATGTGCACATAGTAGCAAGTATTTTGGAAAGCCACATTTTTATGAAACTAACATTTCATAAAGCATTCCCACCAGCTACAAGAGAATCGTCCTTTCAAATACTTTTTTCTTTAAAGAAGAAATTGTATGCATTTCTATGATTAGTTCTGTGCATATTGGATGGTAAATCAAACATTACCAACAGATGTGAAGTACCTGAAATTCATCGTTATGGAAAAAAATCTAGTCATTGAATGACTTAAATATTCTTCCAGAAAAAAAAAGAATATTTTACCTCTGTCTAGGGTCAGCTTCTTGTCATGACAAGCAGTATCATTTAAGTAGAACTAAAGTCAAAACCAGGAGACAACATAGGTGTCTGGATATCTAGATGTAGACTGTTTTATTCCCCTGGTACTAGGTTTTGACTTGAAGACCTTGAACTTCACATGCTCTTCCGCTTGAGTCATGCTTCTAGTCCCCTTTGTTTTCGTTATTTTTCACATAGAGTCTCAGGAAGAATTTTGCCCAGGGCCATCTGTGATCATGATCTTCCTACCTCAGACTCCCACATAGCTGGAGTTACAGAACAACACCACACAATACACACAACACACACACACACACACACACACACACACACACATACCACAGCTTATTTGTTGAGATAGGTCCTGCTAACTTTTTGCTCTGGCTGGCACTGAATCACAATAATCCTCTTTCTTTCTGCCTCCTCATTGGCTAAGTTTACAGGTGTGACCCTTCCTATGCCCACACATCTAGGCTAGGAACATTCTCTGTGAGCAAATCCTTAAGTAGTATGTAAAACAGCAAGCCCAGCAGAGCCCCAAAAATATAGCCATCCCCAAACAAAATTTGAAGAAAAATGTGGTCTTCCATCAGATAGCCACCAGTTTTGTAACAAAGAAGCTTCTGACATTGTGGAGAAGAGAAAGAATTTTCTTTATCCCTTATTGGTTTATGCCCATGTTAGGGTGTAAGCATGTTTTATATAGACTGTTGACACAATGTCTGTCTGCATGCAGTTAGTGCCACACCACTGAGAGCTACAAAATTCTGTCAGGGAGAAAAGTCGGACTGACATCAAAATGGAAAAACAAAGCAATAATAGCTCCCATGTCTCAAAACAGAGACCTTCTTCCACCTCTAGACAGCAGTTGATTGCCTTTATCTCAATTCACAAAAACCAGTCCAGAGTACAATCTGGAATCACAACTGTCCAACCAAGGCACTCAAAATCACTTTATGTGCAAACCACTTTCTCTCAAGCTTCCAGAAATTCCTAATGCTCTGCCACTTAAGTGCCACTCTCCTGGCACTTAAAATCAGAATATCCGCAAATTGTGGCTTCAGCACAATGATATCTAAAAGCTCCCAAGGGAATTCTAGGGTGCCACAAAGTTGAAAATCTACCACAATGATGGCTTTATAGATCCCTGAAAAGTAGCAAGACAGCCTCTTCAGGTTTAACTGGATCATCTATGAATTGATAAACTGGGATTATTGTCTCCACTTTGCAAGAGAAGAAGAAGAAAAATCTGTTAACTATTGCTAATATTCCTCATAAATGGAGGAATGAGAGTCTTTGAGTCAGTATTTCAATAGAAACTTCACCACTAAGCATTTCAGTATGAGACAGTTTTGATGATTTCACATTGACCATACTTCCCATAACTTCCACTCCTCCCCAGCCTGAGCAAGCCTTTCTCCCAGCAGACACCTCTTCAGATGCTTGAGGGCAGCTGGCCCTCTCCCAATTTCCCCTCCCTTTCCAATTCTTCTCCAGGATCATATGACTTGACCTCACAGCTGTCATTCTGAAGGATTTCTATTTTTCTTGGTGTGAACCACTTTTTGTGTGTGCACAAAAGTCACAATTTTGGCCATAACCACTTGAATATGAAAAAGCATAAAAGAAAGACTAGACAGCACATTAATGGCCCTTAAGGCAAGAGCCCCTTGTAAGGCAATGTGCATTTCAATAAATATCAGTTGAGAACTAAAGTGGAGCACAGTGGCAGACTGCTTGTTTGGTAGCCACAAAGTTCTGGGTTGGAGCACCAGCAATATAAATATATGTCAATAAACACATGGACAAACTATTATTTGAGCATATGCTTCAGATTCTCATGTCCAAACACCAAGTCTTTGTATACCAAGAAAAGGCGAAAAGAACCCCACAAAGCCTGTTCAGTTTATTTAGTGATAATAATGTGTAGTAATAATAGGATATACACTTACAAGCCAATTGTAGAGTAAGCTCAGCTATGCGCCAAGATAATCCAAGTTCTTCAATCTACAGGTCATTTTTCTTTTTCTTTTCTTATCTTTTTCTACTGACTGCCCAAGATGGAGACAAGAGGAACAGCATAGATGTTTGGATTCAGCAATGACTTTCTGCTCATTCTTAGTATAAGACCTTAAAGATACACTTAAAGGAAAGCATTTCTTTTAATTATAGAAAAGAGAAGTAATATATTCTTTAACATAGTCTATGTATCTAATGGAGTAGCTACTTCCCACATTGAAGTATTATTTCCTGGTGAGATACAGCTGAGATCACCTGGACCACATATATAGTAAGTAGTTTCTATGGTCATAACTGGAATCTGATTTACTCTCTCATTGTTAACCTACATTACAACAAAAATTCAAAAATGGTAGGGATTCACTGACAGGTTTTTGAGTGCCCAAAAACTATTTCAAATAAACTTACTGAAGCTGTGACTGGTAAAGATACTTCATGTTTCACAACTGAAAGAGTATATCCAATAAAACCCTGAGAAAATTCTTCCATTACTGAATTAAATAGACTTCACTCTATTGCAAGTTTAGGACTGCCAGATAAAATGCAAGACATCCAATTAAATTTAAATTGCAAAGAAATAGCTGTTTTTAGATACAATATTTCTCCAATATCATTGGATGCACAAATAAAAAAAATAAATTATATAATGTCTATCTGAAAGTTACTCATCTACATCCTACATTATTATTTACTAAATCTGGAAAAACTAGGTAACCTAGAAAATTCCACTCAATGTGCTACAACACTAAGTGAATATAACATTCTACATAATAGTAAATACATAATAGTAAATACAGAAATAGCAATTTATCCACTCAGTAATAATATAGGTGAGTTATTTGCTCTCCTCATTGATCTAATATACGTATGTAATCACAGTGTCCTTACCTATCTCTTCTCACAGTCACAAAATGATTGGCAATGCAGCCACTACATTTAATCAACACCATTCTGGAAGAGAAGAAATTAGTTCCTTTCATGAGTCTCTTTTAAAAATCAAGAAAGCTACTCCTAGGAGTTTTACAACAGATTAACTCATTATATCCATGGGCTAGAACACTGTCACATCTCCTTGTATGTGTCAACTATTTTTTAATTATACAACAAGTGTGGCTCTACCATGAATAGTTTTAAATCAGTCAAGATAAAATCTCTGCGACTGGGCAATGCTTCTCTGAAGTTCAGACATTTGGAAAGATTACACCAGAGGCATGGGTAAAAACGATCGAGTTCTATTCAATAAAAAATCTATTGAATTGTTCCTGAAAACTCAGAACTACACCAAGAGAGAAGAAAAAGTTCCAGAATAATTGAGACTCTCAAAGAATCTATAGTTTCATTAGTGCACTCTCTTCAGAAAATAAAACTTAGAAAATTTAACAACTCTTTTCTTCTGTGAAAAGATTTGTTATAATTATTTGAAACAAAATATAAAGGAAAGGAAGAGAAAAACTACAGATATATTTACAAACATCTACCAAGGCCTACTTTTTATAGAAAGAATCCATAGAAATATTCTATTTTACCATAGTTTCTTTGCCACAATATAGCTAGAGAAAGATAAAAAGCGACTGTGAAATTAGCTATATCTTTACCCTGTCTCTTCAATACCCTTACTGTGTTTTAAAACTTTCAGATTATTGTGAAACTATACTGAGTAATATTGACTTACTTATTTACAGTAGGTAAAATGTTTACTTTTTTAAATGGTCTTCAGTTAGCTAAGCAGAACTCAGAAGTACCCTCATCTTATCATGTATAAACTAACCAGTTTTATAAATAACATCAGTTGTAATTTGGGGATTAGCTTTGACAAGAGTTTTGTCATTGAAACTTAACTTTTCTATTCCCAAGTGTGTGTATGTGTGTGTGAGCTTTTTATTCATATGTTTGTGTGTATGTGCAAGTTTTCTATTTTTATGTTGTGTGTATGAGTCCATCAGCCATAACTGTATATGGTGAATTTGAAGGGTGAGGGGTTTCCATTTCATA